TCACTGATGCTTAAGTCCCAACGGTGGAGGAGCGGAGGAGTTCTTCTCCTCAAGAGAAGAGTAGGGACAGAGACCGTGGAGACTGTTCAGGCACAAGGGCTGCTTTGGTAGCAGATCAGGTCGTTCAGGAGATTATGTGAGCTCTTATAGCCACTATGAGGCACATCTGCTTGTGAGCAATTGTTCCCTGCATTGTTTATCTATGGCTGTGGGAGGTGACTCTTAGGCTTGGAAAGCTGGAATTTCCTGCTCTGTATATGTTGAATCCCTGAGATGCTCCTGTGAGGCTGGAAGTATTCCTAGAAGACAGGGGAATGAAGACCTTTCCTTTCCAACTGTAGCTTTTTGTGAAACAAACAAGCTGCTAGTGTTTGTTTTCCTATTCAGAACCAGTTTATCAATAAATCTGAGAGACTTATTATTGTGTTTATAAACTTTTCAGTGGAGATCAGCTCTCATGATGTGTTTGCACAACACCTGGCACAGCTTGGCTTTGATCTTAGCTGCAATACTAATGTGCAGATACCGTTATTGAGCATTTAATACATTCTTAATTTCCCTCCCAGCTTTCAGAAACAACATTCCAAAATTTATGCAGTGCTGCTTTTGTAGGAGCAAATTACTTACTTAGAGAAATTTCTGAAAATTAAATGGAATAGTCCTTGTCAGTTAAGAACCAGATTTTTATCTTGATGTATCTTCTCTGTACTGTAAGAGCATATACATGTACAGTAACTTGTAAATATATTATAGTAAATAGTCAGCTGCCTTTCACAACTTTATTTTTGGTCTTTTTTGACAAAGAGGCTCACGAACCTCTGGGAGCCTTTACCAAGTGTTTAAGTAGACTGTCAGCTGACTCTGAAATCAGTAACCAAGTTACAACTCAGCTACCAGGTATAGGATTAATGCAGGAATTACTGGGCAAAATTTGCAGGCGAGGGTTATGAAGGCAATCAGAATGGTCACTTCTGAGCTTTTAAATAATTGCTTATAATCTATGAAATCACTTGAGATTTTTCACAATAGAAATGAGCTGGAAACTGGAGTTTTGCTGAGGGTCAGTGTAATAAATATCTATGATGTCTGGCAGCAGAATCAGCTGTAACGTTCATCATTTGTGAACGATGCTATTTAGCACAAGTTGAGGACTGGGAGAAGGGAAGGATTATCATCACCATCGCCTAATGGGGACTAAGTCATTTGTCCAAGGTCATGCAGGAAGTAAAATTAGATAGGGTATCCCAAAGGTACAGATCGGTGGTTTAAATTTGTTCTTCCTGTTAATCGTTAAATATTCACAATAGCAAAAACATAAAAAAAAAAAAGAAAAAAAGAAAAAGAGAAAGTGTCATTGTCTTAGCAGTATGCCATCCTGCGATGCACTCATTTCCATTATGGAGAGTATTAATTTTAAGAAGGTCTATATCTTAGGAGGGAGAGGCTGGAGCAAGGTCCCTTCATGCCACTTGAACATCTTTTGCATATGGAACTGGCTTTGAATAAGGATTGTAAAATTCTTGCTTAAAAAGCTGGAAGCTTCTTAAGGGGTCTTTATAATTACAGAGTGAGAGCCAGCCACCCCTCTTTTTCATCCTTGGCCAGAGCTGCTGTTTGGTCAAAATCCAAATCCTGACGACTTTATTCATAGGGCTGCAGCACACCCAGTGAACAGTCACATGCAAAACACTTCTCAGGCTGGCATGAAAAAGGGCTGTTTGTTTCATCCTCCCTCCTCCTCTCAGAGTGTTGGCCAGTCCTCACAGGAGCTCGAGTGAGGTGTTTCAGTGAAAGGCCTGAGAGGAAAGGCAGCTCCTTGCGGGAGGGGCTACGAATTTGCCGGTTACCACCTACACCTCTCCCTTAAGACTTGCAGCATCTCTTCTCCAAGGGCACAAGCCCGTAGCAATGCACCTGGCAGGATTCAAGCGTGGCAGGTGCAATTGAGTTGTCAATGCGCATTGGCTCATCTTAGTATGCCGTGGGGTTTATGCTATCCCAGCCAGAGACAGGAGAGGAAAATTCTCCCGCACACTTTATCTGCAACAATTTGTTTTCTGAATGGATTTTTTTAAAACTATGTCAGAATTGAAATTTTCATGTAAAAGTATACTTTTTTCTAATCTTTTAGACCAGATAAGAGAGAAACACAACTCTGGAAAGATTTCTTTCCAACAAAACCAACAAAACACTGGCATGTTTTAGTCAAAAAGCAAAACAAATTTCTGTGGATTTGTTCATTCCTGTTTCTCCTACCCTCCACCATTTTAGTACAGTTCCCTTAGTCTCACCCCACCAGCCTCCCAGCCAGTTTAACTCATCTGCTTATGTGAAATTAATGGAAATGAATCAGGCAAAACACTTAAATATCATATCAACCCCAATTCTCTCTCCAGTAGCAAAGATCTTGCGTGCGAATAAAAACGAGTCCCTGGTTGTGTATACGTGAGTGCATTCATTTCTAGAGATCTTCCGCTATTAACGTTCGGCAGCAATCACGCAGGCTTTTCCAGCAGGACAGAGCCAGCGCTGGAGGGGAGCTGAGCAGCTATTACTCTGTGTCTGCAGCACTTGCCTTAGCTCATTTTGAGAGCCCATCATTATAAGCAATCCCATGGAGGCAAATGGCAGGGGTAAGTTCACGCAGGGAGGGCATGTTGGCATGATCCATCCCTGCAGCTGACCCAGCGCACAACTAGCTGAGTTGAAATGCAGTTGTTGTAGCACAGTTGTTTTAAAATACTCTTGTAGTATCATTCTCTTGGCTGGAGGAGAATTTGTTTTTTCCTCAAGAATCCTGTGATGAAGATACACCATAGAAAAAGCTGCCATGTTTAATTCCTGTCACTCTAGCTGTAGAAGACAGTTCTGGCAGGGAAATCCCTGCTAGAGACAGTAATGGGAACCTTAGGAAATCTGCCAAAAAAACCCACCCACGCAGCTGTACCAAACCTGTCACAGCTTAGCTTTAGAGTGATTCTATTCAAATAATTCGTTTCACATCTCTAAATATAGTTGGAAAGCAATGGAGAACAAGGCTTGAAATCAACCCTCCAAGCATGTAAGAAAATTTAATTAATGGCAGAAAGAAGGGCCATAGCAATCAGGAGAGTTAGAATACTTCCCATCTACATTTCTTGCTTTCCCAATATAAAATGTTTTTTAAATCACAACAGATATTTTTTGGGGGGAAAAAAAGTTTCATTTAATTTTAATGTTTCCACTGAAAAACAGATATGATGAAAGTGTTTCAGTTAGAGGTAAATGACTGGCGGTGGGGAATCTAGGAAACAGAAATACACTTTCTCCCTTTTTTGTGTTAGAACATTTTGAAAAAGCTTACTTTAGTATTTTTAAAAAAGAAATATTTTTCTTAATTTCCATTTTTCAAGAAACGTTACCTTATCTTTTCTAGTCCTCTCTCATTATTATCAATGTCTGCTTCTATAACAAAACCTCACTCAAAGCAACAAATGCAGTTCTATATACAAGGGGGCATGTAGGGCTCAATACTTGTTGTGAAGGTAGCTGATAAACTCTTCAGGTCCACAGACTCCCACTTAGCAATAATTCATCACACAGGACTGGATGAGCAGGATAAGAAGAAACAGATAAAATTTTTTTTTTTCCCCAGAAGTGACAAAGGATTATTTTTACTTTTTTTTTTTTTTAAAAAAAGCTCACATTTACCTAAAAAAAAAAAAAAGCCATCAGAAAAAAAAAGACTACTACTCAAAAATGTCTATTTACAATCTGTGAACCAGACACTCATTTACTCTAGTTCCACTGAATTAATTACTTGTACCCATAGACAACCTGACCAGGAATTTGTATTACTCAAGTCTACTTTAACAAAATTAAATATCTGCCTCTGTTCAAGTGGAGAGTTGCACAGTGACAACAATTTCCCTGGTGATATGCTGTGAATGTTGAAGTTTCCTACACTTTGGCATCTCATGAAATTAAGAAACACTTGCGCACACAAACCTCAAGATTCACACCTGACCAATACAACAAAAGAACATGCTGCAGAGAACAGGCAAGCTACATTACTTACAATTCAGGAAAGACCAGAACACATGCACACCTCTACTCCAGAGAGGTTGCTTTCATTTGGTATCAGATAAAACCCAGAGGATGAATAAAAGAAAGAAGGGAAGGTCAAGACTAATCCTTATCCCATCAAATAAACACAAACTGCTTTTGTGTTCAATGGAGTCAGAAGTTCACCCAAGGTTTTCGAACAGTGACATTCTCCAGTGGCGCAGTGAGGCCAGCTGTGAACAATAACAAGACCTGGACACAAATTTTGCAAAAGACAACAATTTTTTTAAAAGGAAAAAATAAGAAGGCTCTAAAATACTTACTTAAAAAAAAAAAAAAAAGAAAAAAGAAAAAAAAAGCACCTTTAGAAACAGCAGAATGGCTCAAAGCAAAGCAAGTTTGGTAGTGGATAAAGCACAGTGCCATTGACCTTGAAAGTCTATTGAAAACCAAGGCTCACATCTAGACACAGGTCTCTTGTGAAATGAACTGGGTAACCTCGGCTCAGTTTGGGGGTTTACGGTATGTGTGCGTGATAGTAACAGCATGATAGACCCTTCTTATGGGAAGGTCTGAAATGAGTGAGGGGAAAAGAGGGTCCTGACACAGAAATCCTTCCAGATTAGAGATTGACAGGCAATCCAGTGTGAATGCAGAGATTTGCAAGCAGAGGGCAGTGTTTCATGCTAATAGTGCTAAGCAAGGGCTCGTTCTTGAAGTGAGTGCCTGGAAGAGTATTATAATGTCACTGTTGGCGTTGAGAATCCTTGGGGAAGGTCAGCTGCAGTTTGAGTCCCTGGAGAGTTCTGCTGCTGTGGGTTCCCTTAAACAAGACCTTCATTTGGCAGCATTTTGAAGGCACTGGAACACCAGATGTTGCCCCAAGCATTGTTCCTAGAGAAGCTGGTCCATAGCTAGAAGTCAGAGCTCCTTTTACACATGATGGAGGAGTCGTCTCAGTGGAGGTAGGTAGGTTGATTCCATCGGTACCAAGATCTGTTTGCAACATAGGGAATAAGAGCTGCAATTGCCATGTTGTTAACTGTTTCCCTTGAAATGAAAATCATTATTACTCAGTTTGTAACATTACTCTGACCTGGCAGCCAGCAATTGATCCTTTCCTCCTAGAGGAAGCTCATAGCAAACCCCCTGTCTTTCTAAGCCACATCTTCCATATTGCTCGTGTTTTCACATACTACCTGGCTGTTGGACTTCCTCCATGTAAGAGGAGGTCTGATTCACTGCACAGGATGATCCGTGACTCAGAAAGCCCAGGAGCTGTGGGTAACGCCCTCTGCTCTCTGTTGCCTTCCTACTAACACAGCATCCTCGATGCGGTGTGGCAGACACTACAATGGCAGATTGGCCTGAGCAGCACAGACTGTGGCAGAGGCATGTCCAGTGACATAACCAGAAGGGCTCTGAGCCCATATGTGTGGCTTAATGCTTTTGTAGCATCTAAAGGCAGGGCAGAGGAAAATTTTTGTTCTTGTTTCATCTGCCACTGTGGAATAGTTACTCTGCAGCAGAGCTCTCTGGGTGGCACTGCAGGAAAGAAAACCGGCTGTGGAGGGGGTTATCCAAGCAGAAACAGCAAAATAAGCCTTCCTCTGCTTTATCCACACAAGGAGTTACTTTAGGACAGTCCTTATGGACAGTGTTTCTCTTCAGGTTTCTGTTGTTTGGGTTTTGTTTTTTTTTTTACCTTTTTTTAACCAGCACAGTTTTTCAGGCAAAACTTGCTTTACTATTTGTCTTCAAGCAGAGAAATAGCCATATCCCAAGAAGCTTTGGGTTAGATATGAAGCTTCATGTAAGAACGTGCCACCACGTAGCTCCACATTGCTGGAGTCTCTAAGGGCTTGCACATTCTTCTCCAAGGTCCAAATGCTTTTTTCCCAAACCCTCCGATGCCCTTGCCAAGGAGCAAGCTGGGGCCCCCCGTCTTACCCTGAAGAGTTGAAACTGGAAGAGTTCATTGCAGCTTTGGAGTTGCTCTGGGCTGTGCCGGGGCTGCTGGCATGGAGTGCACTGCCAGGGGACGAGGGCCTGCTGGAATTCCCTGGGGAACACGATGATGTTACTGTGTAGCAGAGAAAGCTGAATAAGACTGGGATCTCGTTTTCCTGCCAAGGACAGCCCAAGCCCAAACAATTCCACTATATCTTGTACCCGCCCTGTTGTTCACCTGACTCACTGTCTGCCCTGCAGCAGCAAGGCAGAATCTGTGCCCCAGCCACAGAGCAGGTGAGGGTCTCCAGGACTGCGCTCTCTGTAGCACTTGGTTTCTATTACTGTAAATCGCACTTTTCGAAGGAGGTCTGACAATGTTCTGCTGAAGAAATGCAGTAACCTACCCCCAAGCACTCCTCTTGTTTGGCTGCTAGGTGTGCCTGGCTCCCAAACCTAAACACGGCAGTAAAATTTGCCTAGGATTATCCTGGGAATGTTATCGTGCCCAGGAAGCTTTCTATGTCTTCGTTGCAGCCGAGAGAAAGACTCTGCTGTTCTTACCCCTTATATACTAGTTATGTGGGGATACTTTCCCTGGCCAAACCCAAGGATCTTATTAAGAGTGGCCTGCAAATGTGACCTAGGAACCAAGTAGTCAGAGAGCAAGAGCAGAGGAAGGAGGGAAGGAATGGCGAGGCAGGTTTCTCAAGGCTTACCAGTCCCAGGCATGGTGCTGTGCACTGGATTGACAGAAAGGGGCCCCAAGGACCCTGAGGTAGAGACCTAGAGAGAAACAGAAGCAAACAGTAAGCAGTTGGCACTATGAGGGTATACGTCACAAAATGCCACTCCTTTCACATTCCGTTCAGAGTGTGCTGGCTCCCAGGCAGACTTATCTACATCTGAGGCTCCCACAGATATTTCTATTCATAGTCTAGTGTAGAAGCAATATTCCCAAATCCAGGGCCATGGAAAGAAACCAGAATGAGTATTACACGTGCTTGACGCTCTCTACATAGGTCTAAATTTATGGATCAGCTATGGGAAAGCCTGAAATTATCAAACGCAAGCCAAACATTCTGGAAGTCCTGAGATCCAGGTGGTAGGAGCCACTGCCCTTTGGATGTTTCAGACTGGATGTTCCTAGTCAGAAACTTCCCAGCTCACTCTGGTCTTGGGCACAGATAATCCCTTTTCCTTTACAGAGTTCTTGGTGGGTGAGAATTCTCAGGTGACAATTAGTAATTTGGTAGCTGCAATCAAAGCAAGCCTGGGGCATTTGTTGTTCCATCATGATACTTTAACTACAGGCAACATGTTGTTCAGAATGACCGATGAGCAAAGGCATACTTTGTACAACACATTCACAGGAAAACTATTCACCAAAGCTACTGCTTTAAAAATTCATGGCTTGCAAGCAGCATTTTGTGTTTGTGACTGTAGACCAAATGTGTTGCGCAACAAGCGGTCAAACTTCTTGTGATGTTTTCCTGCCTTCTGATGGATAATTCCAAAACCCAGAAGATTTCAAGATAAAATATTGCTTGCGAATACATACTCTCCCTCCCACTTGCGTGTGCTCCAGCACTAACAACACCGTAGGGAGGTTCCTGCCACTTTTATAGGTGGAAGCGACTAAGCAACTACTAACTAGCAGAAATGCGATAGTAGCTTGTTATCCCCAGTAGCAACAGACAGTAGATTACAAGGACACGGTTTCACCAACTCTCACAATGGTTTCTTTTTTCCTCATCCTTCCTGGCAATGAAAATACACTTGCCAAAATGTGAATGTACCACATGAGAGAACGACAGCTGGCACTACTGAAGTGTATTCTGCCTTTCTGCACAGATGTAAACCAACAAACTGATACATAAATGGTTAGCATTAGGTTTCAGAGTTAGCAACTAAATTGACATCAGTGGATGTAATTCTCATTCCATGGGATGCTGATTCCTCCTCCATTAACTTTGGAAAGCTTTTATTTACCAATCTTAGGGTGAAAGACTTGGCGATAGCACCCTTATTTGAATAAATTATCCTACAATTAAACTGACCTGTACCTTCTAGGAAACTTGTATTTTCTTTCTATTGTTTTCATTAATATACTAAAAATAAGTGTTCTGTAAAGGCGAACGTGACATTCCATTCAATTTGGGATGTTGAGTATATGCCCCATCCGCGGCTAGCCCAGCTGCTTCTCTGCACACTCCTGCAGGTATAGTCCCCCACTGGACTGTGGAGTGGGCTTGCCAGCAACTTGGGGACTTGTGTGTACAAGGAAATGTCCTGTCCTTTTCCAGCAAACCCTGCTGCATCCCCCCCACCCTATTTCCTTCTTGTCTGGGATGGCATGTAGAACTCCTTAATCCAGAGTCTCTCACCAGTCTGGAATTGTAGATAGGTGATTTGATGGGGGATGGCATCGGGCAGCTGATCCGTTTTTCCTTCTGGCGCCGGTTGCAGAACCAGACCCGAACCACCTCCTTTTCCATGGAGAGCTGCTCTGCTATCAAGGATATCTCCTCTGAACTGGGCTTGGGGTTCTGCTGAGAAAGGGCAGGAGGTTAAAGAAAGCCCCAAAGACCTGTAGCTTTCGGCATCAGTGTATGCTTCTGCTGCTGGAAAGGCAGAGGACAAGGATGGCATTGGCTGTAAACTGGGGAGGAGAGAAAATTTGCTTCTAAGACAAAGGGTAAATATTTGCTTGAGAGATTATGTTCTGTGAACCAGAGAGTGCCTCCGATTCAACATCAAGTCTCATGGAATCAGTGGGGGATGAGTCACAGTACCTGGCCCTGTTATTGCATAAAGCACCACACTCTTTGATCTTAACAGCACCCTAAATCATTGCTTGGGGGGAAGCTAATGACTGGTGGTCTTATCGCTACCCAGGACACACAAGCTCTGAGTGCTGTTTGTACGCCTACCTGCACCATCCTCAGAAAAGCCATTTCTTATCTTTCTCCATCCTTCATTTATAAAAGGAAATAATAGTGCCTAACCTTTCTTCTGAGTCACTTTTTTCTGGTGCATTTGACTGCATTTAGCTCTATGGGTTTTGATCTGAGTTGGAGACTTGTGGGCCAAGAATACCTAGCACAGAGATGCCAAGACACTTTTCCCATTACAAAGAATGCCTCACAGTAGCTAAAAATCAGGTGCCCATAATGATCTGACAATGACTGTCTTTTGTTCTCATTAACAGTCTTAGGAGGAAATTTTTATATGATCAGATATGAGGGAGAAACCAAGAAAAAATGAGGGCTGGTCAAAAACGGTTTTGATGAAAAATTTTCAATGCACAGTTTAGTCCTACAGATTTTAAGCTCTTTTTGCTCTCTGTAGTGATTTTTCTTGAAAATCTTGATCATTAAAAAGTAAAAGGCTCCAGTTCTGAAATGATTCAGCAGCAATATCTGGAGCAACTGGTTCTGTGGTCTCACAAGACCTGCTTAATGGGGCATCCGTTTCCGTGCTGCACCATGGCCACGCAGTTCCCGTGACACGCATCTACAGCTTGCAAAGAGAAGAGGTGGTTGCAGGAGATCAGCTTTGGCTAGGGCACTGATCAGTGGACGATAATGGGGAGGTGTGGTGATGAAATTGTATTGCCTTTAAAACAACATTTGCCAAGGAAATAATTAGGTCTGATTATTTGTTTTTGACACTTTTCCTGTTAACCCCTGCAAGCATTTTCTAACGTGCTACCAAAACAACAACAAAAAAAAGAGATCTCTTTTTGAGGATTCGGTGCTACTGTGACCTAGCAAATGCCAAACTCAGACAGTTCACAACCCATTGAAAGATTTTCCCCTCACATCTTGAAATCTTTTCTCCAGCGTGGAGCGAATGTTGGTCTCAATGCTGGTTCGCTTCTTTCTTTTCCGTCCAAACATCTCATTCACTGAGGGGTACGAATTCGGAGTGCTCATGGAAGAATCCAAAGGAGCAGATTCTGGGGAAAGAGGAAGGGAAAAAGAGATATTCAAGAGGATAATGATTTATTTTCATTCCTAGATCCTTTCTAGCAGCTATGGCACCTCCTAAAATAAGTAAAACGTTCCTACATTATGGATCCTTCTGATTGTGATTAAAATTGCTCCAACAGTCCCAAATCCACCAATGATCTTGTCCGAATCAGGAAAGAAATATGAGTGCTAAAATTTTAATCAACTGTATTGGGTCAAGCCACCACATCAACACATTTTTTTTCCTTTTTTCAGCTTGATTTCCAGCCTGCTCTGATTGGGACCACACATTTTCCAATTTTTTAATTTCACACAGTTAAAGCTGTTGACTTACACCACTGGGATCAGGCCTTATGTAGCTGAGACAGCTCCTGACATGATAAATTGGTCAAACATGCAACACCTAAAGGGCTGGGTGAAGCACATGAGACTAAGGCCGGTCCTACAGCGGCCAGCAGAGGACAAGAGCCCAATCCCGGCTGCTGTTGGGGATTCCCCTTGCAGTTATGTCTTCCTTTTCATGGGCTGATCTCTGAGCACCTTGGAAGGAGTCCCTTCCTGTTCTTTCCTGTTTATACAGGGAGGGACTGAATGGACTAGCCCAGTGATTTGCCGCAGGCCATGCAACAGAGCAAGAGGCGATGCAGGAAGGGACTGCCCCGGACACCAAATTGCAATGTGAATCCCATGTTGCCAGAGAGAAAGGGCAGATGTGGTGTGATATCTAGGCTGCTATGCAACCTGCTGTGTGAGCCACAGAGGAAAGGAGTGTGATACTAGCCCAGCCACGGATCTGAGAGGTCTTAGCTCCAGCTCCGATTTTGCTGGCTTTTATTGGAGGTTCCTGTATGAATTTTCTTGTCCTGGCCAAGACTGGTGGCATTTCTGCATGTAATGTCACCTACCTGCATCACTCAGCCACTTCTCCAGCAGGGGTTTGAGCTTGCACATATTCTTAAAGCTCAGGTTGAGAGCCTCAAAGCGGGAAATGGTGGTCTGGCTGAAATCATTGCCATAGAGCTTCCCCATGGCAAGTCCAACGTCACCCTGCCAGAGAAGATCCAAATCACAACATGAGCTCAGAAAAACCCCTCACAGCTTCCTGCAGTCAGACCACCTCTCAGGTTGCTTTCAGAGTAGGTCCAGCCTTGTTTCCATGACCTGCCCTCCAGAGAAAGTGACTTCTCTTCCCACAACGGGAATCTGCCCCACACCCCTGAGCCTTTGTGTATTGGAGAAGGTGCAGATAAAGAGGTCATGGTAATGAAGGAAGGTAAGGAATGGTTTGTCTCTTCATGTGTTCAGAAGGGGATGCTCCGAAGAAAGCCAAACTGTATCTAATCCAGCCCTTCCTCCATCCATGTCTCTGCCACAAACTCCCCCAGTCTAACATGTCCACATCACAAGTGACACCACTCTTCCTACTGGGGAGGCTGCTCACCTGCGTGAACCCCAGTTTGATTCGCCTTTGTTTGAAAGTCTTAGCAAACTTTTCCAGCTCCTCCAAGTCACTGGGTTCCTCAGATGCTCCTGAAGGAGTTAGGTGCTTTGCCACTTGCAAATGCTGGGGTACGTCCAGGTGGGGTTCAACCGATGAGCCAGGGAGTCCAGAACGGCCCACAGCCTGTTAAAACAACAAAAAAGATGCATAGAGTCACAACAATAGAAAAGTACACGATTTTCTCTGGCATTTGTCCTTAGAGAAGCAGCACTTTTGTGGATGGGTGCTTGTCAGGGTGGGACTGTATGTTGAGGCAAGTTACCTGTGATGCCAGGCTCGGTCCCGGCTGCGAGAGGAGAAGGCTGCCCTGTTGCTGGGGGAAGGAGAGGAGGTTTGGCTGCAAAGCTGAGGAAAGAAAAAGAGACATATCTGATCAGATCAGCTCCTTCATCAGCACCTCGGCAGCTGAGCATCACTCTGCACAGGAAAGGCTCATGAAACTCTGAATGGACAACATTAGTTAGCTGTTGTTCAAAATAGGAGAATTTCAGCCATGACAACTATGGATGGCTCTGAGTTGGATTACAAGAAAGGAAAGGTTCTTTTCATGGCTTTTTAGCCTGAAAGGGATTATTACAATAATGATATGGGTAAAATATCTCATCCACTGATCCCTGTGTGTAGCTCATTAAGCTAAGGCTGAACTAGGGCACAGACATTCTACATAGACATCTAACTTTGATTTTAGATGCCAAGCAGCAGAGAATTTATTACATCCTTAGTGGTGATCTCTCCTAGCGCTTAGTCATTGTAGCTGTTAAAAAAAATGTGCATCTTATTTCCAATATAAGCTTTTCTGACTGCAACTTTCAGCCACTTGATCTTGTTAAAAAAATCCTGATCCTACAGTTAATCTCATGAGCCTGCCCACTTGCTGCTTTCTACTATACTTTTCATTTTGAAGTGTCATTTTGAAGCCATCTGACCCTTTCTTTTCTACCCTACTGTATTTCAAATAAATTGAATTTCTTTTGGAATATATAAACTGACACAAAATGATGAAAGGAAAAAAGAAAGAAAATCTATAAAACTAACAAAAACTAGTATTTATGGAGACTGCGTAATTGTTTAGTTGACAAACTGCCAAGTACAAACCTATATCTCTTACAGGGAATGTCCTAAAGGATTAAGTAGCAACCAAAGCAGTGCAGTTCCCTAGAAATTTAGTTAGGTTCTTCAAGTCTGTTGTAGATGAAGCCTATAGAATTTAGTGAGGATTTATAACCTTTCTTGAAACATTCAATATATTCTATTGATTGTAACTGACAATGATAGGGAAAACGATAGAAATTTATGGACTTCTGCTAAAAAAAAGGAAAAAAAGATCATGTCCAGAATCAATCACTCCCCCCTCTCTCTCTTTCTGTCTTTCCTTTTTTAATTTAGATCTGAATGTGCAGGATCCCATTTATTTATTTAGATTGGTGTTTCAATAAGCCTTCTCTAATGCTGGAACAACTTTGAATTTCAAATGCAGGCTGGTAATGAGGTGCACATTTTTAACAGTGAAGGTAATTAATCACTGGAATGGCTTGCCTAGGGACATGGCGGATGCTCTGTCATTTGGAGTCTTTAAAATCATGATTGAACACCTTTGCGAAAGCTGAGCTCTAGCTCAAATGAAAATTATGGACTGGATTCAGGAATCACTGGTTTGACAGCTGATGAGACTGAGGCTGTGTTTTTGTAAGATGAAGACTTCAGCAAGAATATTCTGGCTGACAGTATTCCCAGCATCTACCTGGCTGCTTGTTTCCACCTTTACGGCACAGAGCTCTCACCCCCTTATTCAAGTGTGCCAGCATTAGCTGTTTGAAGGGCTACACAATGAATCACATCAGGGCATAATGAATCAGACCTGGCAACTTTTCTGGTTTAAAAACAGCTTTAAAATGCAAAACCCAAATGAAAACCCATGTCCTCTTGGAAAGGTTAAGCCCACAGCCAGCTCCCTTTGGCCATGAAATCCATTAACTGATGTAGCCATCAGCCAGAACTCAGGAAACATTGGGGGTGTTCCCACGACAGCCCAAGGGACAACCTTCAGGAATATTTTGTGCATCTCTTTGGTATGAAGAATGCTCCACCTGTATCTGTATCAAACAGTTCCATAAAAACAATCTGTGCCTTCCCTTTCACTCCCCAGTGGCTGTGCACACGCACGTCAAAAGACCATTAAAACTTGGCAATCATCTATTTGAATGGAAGTGCTCTTGCACAAAAAGCCAGCTACTGGCCAGAATATCCAGTCTTTGTCAAGTCTGGAACCAAAAGGGGTCATGGCCAAACAAGTGGCCATCTGTTGGAGGGGTTATCGCTGCCAAAGGAAGACACTTGACAGAAGAAACTCTAACTCTACAAAAGGAAGCAAGTTCTGTTTTGCAGTATAACGTGTTTCCTATCATACGTGAATAAAAGCAGGCAGTAAGCAATAGATTATCCTGACCCTGCCATTTCAAACAAGCTAAATTCTAGATTGTTGGTAAATATACATCAAGTGCTGTCTGTATACATCACTCAGCATTATTTGGCAGAGAGGAGTTTACATACCGTGAATGAGAAGCAGGTTTCCTACTTGCCTACAATACAGGTTTTCTTCTGGAGCATATGCACCCATGCATTCAAGCTGCAGAGATTTTAAGGTTTTAATTCTGAATTTTGGTTCATACTGAAGGACCTCTGTGCTGGAATAAGTCAAGAATGTGAGCAAAGGACCCAAGTCCCTTTGCATCTGTCAGGTTATGGATCAAAGCCTATGTTTGTCTGTCCACAAGCAGCATAAAACTTCATCAATGGTGTGCCTGTATCCCCATTGTTGGAGAAATGCCATAAAAAATATCGGCAGTAAAAACAGAAACACAGGGACTTTCTTGAGCACTCGGTTCAGTCCTCAGTCCTTTCATCCCTTTCACAGAGCTGATTACACTGTGTTTCAGAAGTAGTTAGACCTCCTGTCCTCTCCTGCCCCATGGCTTGGAGCGAGATATGGGAACAACCACTGGCAACTCCACACCTCTCAGCTCTCATCCCCGGGTTGCCCCTGGCTAGGTTAGACCTGTTTGTTCTAGTGCCAGCATCGTCCTTCCACCAGAGCAGCTCAGTTCCTTCCCTCGATTTACTCTCCCTCTAAGGTACTTAGAGAGATCAACTCAACCTCTCCTCAGTTTTCTGGAAGAGAGGAGGAGTGCTAACCCAGCGAGGCTGGGGGCACAGGCAGGCTGCAACTGCTCCCCAAGGAGCAGGCTCCTCGCTGCTTTGCTGAAAGCCAGCCAGATGCTCTCCTGACTTCCAGAGGTGGGATGCCCACCAAGCCTGCAAAGACTGGCCCCAAGGTGGCACTCTTGGCGCACACAAGCCACAGGTGCCAGGAGCATCGATGGAACTGGACCCTTCCCAGAGGAGCTACATGCTTACGGGATCAGCCCGGGTGTGGGAACCAGCACAGAGGGAAAACGCAGCTGGTAACACAGCAGGGGAACAGACACCATCATGCTGGGAAAACCTAACAGACTAGATTAAAAGCACCAGTCATGAGAAGGGAGTTTTTTCCTAGATATGTATCTGCTTATAACAATGCCCCTTTCTGCTTTTATTGCTCTTACCTTGTTGCCCGGCCTGAGATTGAGACAGAAGAAACTGGGGCACTGACTGCATATGACCGGGAAGCAATACAAGCTGCTGCAGAGTGTGAAGAGAGCTCATATCCTATGGGAAAAAGCAAAGGGAACAACAAAACTCAGAGATGCCTGCTCATCACACAGCACCACCTCTCCTATAAAGATTCCCTGCTCTTTTATACTGTCCTCGACCCCATTCACACTTTTCATTTAACTGCCAACACACCAGATCTGTGTAATTCATGCACTGGAGAGCTACAGGTCCAGAGGAACTCCAGGATCTGAAGTTTTTAGCTGTATAAGAAGAATTCTGTGCACATACAGACATCCACATGGAGAGTTGTCTACTTTTATCTGAAAAAGTTAATCCTTGAAAATGACATTTTTGAGGCACTGGCAATCAAAACCTTGTTGTTAGAAGTAACGGTGAAACCTCTTGGATATCAGTTTCTTCCAGATAATGTATTTTCAGAGAGTGAACTCCCTAAAATTACACAGGAAAGTGCAGCTGACTGTCCCATCCCACGAACACTGAGAGCCTATTTTCCACAGAAGGCTGATTTCCCAGCCACCCGTGTGCTGGGACGGGAAAGGAGCAATGCCTAACAGCACCTGATTCTCTGCACCAACAGCAAATGTGTTGCAATAGACACAATGCCCAGATCTGAAAAAGTTTCCTGTTCTTTGCCATGTAGCTGCGAGGAGTTCCCCATCCTGCATTGAGTAGAGCAGGCAATAGGTATTGAGAGATGTGGATTACATCCTAGTGCTCTTTCACATTACTGGGGTCTCAGCCCCAGGTCCTTTGTTGGGATTAGGGGATAAGAGTTTGCGTTTGCTTGGGATAGACCCCCACAAAAATAATGCCCCAATAAGACCAACTTCAGAAGTACGTTTTTAAAGGAACTCATTACTTAATAAGATGAGGTCTTCAAGCTTCTCAAGAAAAATTTTGAAGCTTTGGGGAAATTGAACAGTCCCAGAATTGTGTAAGAGATTTGAATACCCGTGAAAGAATGAGGGAAGAGATTACTGAGCAGCTGTGTGGCCTTCTGGCATCTAATTCCCACTAGAATTTAACAAGAGTTAAGTGCTAAACTCCAATTTTTTACCTTAGGAAAAAAAAATTCCCTCAAGGAATGAATTTCTTCTCTGGCATAAATCAATTTGAGGCAACATATTCAAGAATGGCTATACTGGTTCAGATCAAGAGTTAATCTAGCCTAGAACCATATCTCCAACAATGACATTAACCAGACATTCATGAAAGAGGAAGACCAGGGCAAGCATATCTAACACTTCCCCTTGGTGTTGTCTCAGCCTCCAATTATTTTCAATTCAAGGGGTTTCCTGAGCATGGTGTGGTTTGCCTACTTAGTAAACCCTCAAAAGAAATCTCTTCCAAGTACGTGTCCAGCCGACCTTTGAACCCATGTAAAACTTTCTGGAGAGAAGGAAGAGGCTGAGGAGGAAGCTGACTTTTGCCAACACACATTCACTTTTCCAATTTAGTGTCCATCATACCCTCAAGTCTCCTTTTGCCACTGTCAAAAGGCGTATGTAATTTGGCAAGTGTCTCAAAACCAGCCTCTTCTCTGGAGGTTCACTAACCAGTGCCAGTTCAGACTTCTGGATCCCCGAAGCAGCGAAGTCACTTACCCCTGCGATTTGGCTTCCGGGCATCATTGATGATCCCTGCACAAGGTGACCTGACCTAGGGGGGATTGTAGATTGCAAGGAGTCGCTGAGGTCTTCGGTTTTAATCTGAAAAAGAGCAAAGTAATTGTAGCATTAGGGAGCAGAGACAAGGGGATGCAGGAGGTGTGGGGCAGCTAGGAGTCTGAGAGGCTGGAAGGCATCGGGAAGGGGTTCCTTTCAGAGAAAAGTTAGAGGTCAGGACTCACTGCTTCCATCCCTGGCTTTGTAGAAAGGCATAGTCGTTCCCCACTTCTGCTCTCCAGTTTGTGACATGCACATAGTTTTCCTGCTCTGCCAAGCCAAGGGGAGCCTTGCAGTTTGCTCAATCAAAACGCATTAATGAAACACTTTAGGAAGTAACCAAGTTCCAGTGATTAGCAAGGTTTAAAGCATGTGAATACTTTCCTCAGACAAAATACTGAGACATTTTGTGGAGTTATAAGGAAGACATGAAGCAATTCTTTACAGATCACGACTCACAGCCCAATGGCAGGGTTGGCCATAGATAGCCTCTCATTTTGTTCTGCAGGTAGCAGAGAACGGTACAAGGGGATGGGAAAGGAAAGGTCATGAAGTAAAAGACATCAAAAAGCAGTGTAATCTTCCAGACTTGAAAATGCAGCACCCCAGGCACCAAACATATTTGCTCAGCTTCTACCAGAAAGCAACAAGAAATTGTACTGGTCTAGCAAGGAAAAATCTGCTTCCTTAGCTAGAAAAAGCTGTGGAAAAAGAACTGGAAAACTTCACAGGTGTCAGCCCTTTACCCAGTGGTCATTTTGACCTACTTTAATGGTCAAGAAATATTTCTGTCTACCAAAAAGAAAAAAAAATTTTAAAAAATCATGATTTCTGAGTCCACGTTCTTAAGAGAAGAATTTACCCAGGAACCAGAACTCAATCCTTGTTTCTGGTTTATTCCATAGTCTCCATGTTAATTTCTAACATTGCTGCTACTTAATTTAAAACAAACAAACAAACAACCCGATACATCACTTTGTACTAGCTGAAGGTAAGGCTGACTGGGACAGGAGAGATGGGAACCTGGTTGGGGAGATTTTAGAGGTTTTTAGGTTAATTCCTGAAAACTGTATGAGGAGTGTCTGTGTGCAGATGCCATGCACAGGAGACAGAAAAGACATACAGAGTTCTTAGAACACATTTTCCTTAAGAAAAGATCCAAGCAAACAATTTCCAAAGTGAAGCTCACACTTTCCTAAGCCTGAGAATGCGTGGAACAAGGTTCACGAGTCCCATTCCTCATCTAAGCCTTTCCAGTGCAAGAAGAGGTTCCAGTTTCCACAAACTGGAAAAACCAGGAGGACACCAGAAAGGAAAGGTCTTGAAAACCCCGTCCACGGGCTCCGCATTGCAGATTCACTCTTACTACTAGGGCTGAACCTCACCATTTCCCATCAAATTACTCAAGCCCAACATCCCCCAGAAGGCAAGCAGGGTTGCATTTGCCAGGGTTTTGCAGTGCTGATGTGGACTTTAGGTCATACAACCTCCTACCAGCAGAGGGGGACAAGAAATTCAGCTTTTAAAAACTGGCCCAAGCGAATATTTTTGGTTGAGGGAGGTTTTATTTCAATTTGACTAAAGCAAACGAATACACAAATCTCCGCAGGAGCAAAGGACAAAATGTGATCACAAGAGGCTCGCAGCTGCAATGCAGGGAGCTGGCCCTGTAACGTTAACCTCTGCATTTTGGAAGGTACTACGCAGAGGGAAGAGAATTACAACATCTCCTTTCATTACAACTATAGCTCTGGACACTGCCGAAACTAGTTTTGCAATAATGCTAGCTCTTTGCAACAAGAGTTATACATGCTACGAATTCCAGTTCTTTCCTACCTTTCAGGTTGGCATGATCATCCCTCTTAACCTGGCGAAAAAATCAGATGGAAAGTTCTTCTTGATCACTATCAATGCGGATAGTGTCTAAGTTATTAATTGTTAGACGAAAGGCTCAGGAGAATACACCGTTACCCCTGAGCCATCCAGTCATTGCAGGCAAATGGTTTTATGCACGTTTTTCTTTCTGAGGGTGCATTAAAAAGAAGTCATTCGAGCCAAAAAGAAAAAAATAAATAAAAAAAAAAAAAATTACCCCTGCTTGCAATTCATGTGTGTCTGCCTCACACAGTGCAGTCATCCAAGTCTGAACAGTCCCAAAAAGAAAAGTTATCCGCGTCTTAGAGAACAAGGCACTTGATCCCGCCTAAGTTATGATCCCAATAAGAGTGGAGTGTTGAAGAAGCACAAGCCATTTCCAAACTGAAATCAATTTTTACAGCTGCCAAGCGGAATGATTTGGAAGCATTCCAGGGTGAAAGGGGTGTGTAGCTGTATCCCGGCATCGCACAATATGAGAACGGGAGGTGGGTTTGGCAAAGGACCGGTTCCCGATTTAAAAACAACAACATCTCCCACTGCTCCTTCCCCCGTCCCTGGAATTCTCTGGCTCCCTCCTGCGCAGTGGGCGGGAACCTGGGTGTTCTTGACAAATCCTTCTCCCCTGCACCTATTTTCATTGGGTTTAGGCTCAAATTTACCTCTCCCTCCTCTTCCTCTCCCCAACAGGCCTGCAGCTGGCTAATTGTTCATTAGCAAGAGTTCGGGGTATATCCAAAACTTTTGGGATGGTTTATGCAAATCCTGCACCTTCATTTTTTCCCTGGCTAAACCGGCAGTATTACCAACTGCACATTAAAAAAACCAAACCCGAAAACCCCAAAAAACCACACACATTGTGGGCGAGGCCACTCAATATCATGAGACTCCCTTAAAATAATGTAAATTTCTAATTAATAAAACAAGGGGAGGAGTTGTCTTCTCCTTTCCCAGTGCATCTGACTCATATTTGCAGGCATTTTCTACAAATATGAGAAAAGGTTCCTTTAAGGAACCAAAAAACAGTTGAAATTATCACAGAATCGCCTCATGTAGGTACTTGATGAGAAGAACCCTGCTGAAACACTGCAAGTGAGCAACAGTGATTTAGGTAAAACCAGGACCAGATCCCACCGTGGTTCTTCAGGACCTTGGTTTTACATGAGGATCAGGCCAGGCGAGGAATGGGGAACAAGAAGCCATTGAGAGCAAACCCAAGTTTCTTCCCATTGAATCTGATTTGGGGAAATAACACTGTCTAAGGAGAAACGAACTTGTAAACCAGCAGGAGCAAGTAACGCACCGCAGACACCTCCTGCTCCCCGAGAGCTAGGGAGAGGCGCGGAGCCTGGGTTGCCAGCTGTGAATCTCCAGGCACCTTCTTCCCCTTGGGCTCAGGGGAGTCTGCGGGCAGGGCTGGGAGCAGCTCCCAGCTCCTCCGGAGGAGGTAACGGCAGGTGGCGGCACCCGTACGTCGAGCGACCCAGGGCTTCTCCGGGATAGGAAAGGAATCGCACTTGCAAATCTCAAGTGGATGTTTTCACAGCCTTAAAATAGGGTCAGCTGCCCCCAAGCAATCAGAGTGAAAAACACAGGAAGGGTGACTGGATGGAAAGAGAGTCCTTTCCTTAGTTGGCTAGCACGTCTGCTGGGCCTGGCCAAGGATGATGAATTGTTTCTTACCTATCTCTGGCCTGAAAACAAAAACAAAAAGCAAAACAAACTAAGAAACATATTGAGGGCGATGGAAAATGATCAAAGCTCTTCAGCTTGCTTGCGTAACCGATTTGTGGAAGGTGTTTCATAAACATTTCATAAGAAGGAGAATTATGAAGAAAACATCTCCCAACCTGCCTGCAATTACTGCACAAACTCTTCCTTACCAGTAGGAAGAAGGGGAGAAAAAAAAAAAGTACATCTGTTTTGTAACTGATCTGTGAACTTTTGGCAAACATTCGGCTCATGAAAACATCCTGCAGACATACTGCAAAGCTGTAAAAAGCCAGCCTTACATGAGGAAGTTGGAAAGAGTCACCTTAGCAGCTCTGATTTCGCCGCGTGGAAGGCCATACCCTTCCAACAGACAGGCCGACAGACCCACATTTGATTCAATGGACTGACAGCCGAATCCCATTGGCTGGGCAGGACTCCGGCTGCAGCCCTCCTCGTATAAGCACAGCTTCGGGTCACCGCTCACTGGTAATCTGAATTGGTCTTCCTCGTCTCTCAGACACCAAAGCAGGCAGCCTGAACGCTGCCCCAAGCCACCTCCTTTTGATGAGCACTTCTGATGTAATGCAAGCACCGCTCCGTCATCCTCTTTGCAAAGGTGGGACCCACCGACTGATTCAGCACCCAGAGCCTCGGATGCTTTCCCCAAATCTAGATAAGTGCTCTCCGTATCCTGCCAGAGTGAGGCCGTTAAAGCCATGTCAGCCTTCTCCAGTACCACTTATTAGGCAGGAACTGCGGTCATTATTGTAAGATAGAAGACAATCATATTTGTTGTGTAGTTTCTATTCAGACGGTAACCTCTTTGAAACAGATATTTATCTGCCTTCGTATCTGGCTTATCTCATAGTCAGCAAATCACAACTGTTTAAGAGTTCGACTTACTCATATCCATCCCTCCCTCCCCCCATTGCGGAGTGGTAAGGCTGTTTCACTGGATAGAAGAGGGTCAAGTGCACACAGACTTAAGAGGGTCTGAATCAGTTGCCCCTCGCTGGAAACAAACAGCATGGTTCTTCCACGGCTGAATCACTCCCAAAGCGCTATTCAATACAACGGGGCTGTCTGAAGCTGCCCCAAAGTGATTTGCCTGAAGTCAAGGGAGGAAGTTTTATGATAGAAACAGGTACCAAAACTGGATCCGAGGCTATTGCAGTTAACTAAGACTTCCCACCTTCCAATGGCGTAAGTGTACTTCTCTGTGAATTACCTGCACACGTGGGCACCATAAAATAAAAAACACACTAATAATAAATTATAGCAATAACAATAATGGGCTTGCAATTACTATTTCCACATGTACTATCCTGCACGTACGGCAACGCTTAACAGACACCCAGGAAGAAAGCAGAAAACCCTTATGTCAATGCAACGATATTCACCCTATAACATTTGATATCCTTTCACACTGAAGGGTGGGATTTTTCAGAGGCTGTCAG